CATTATTTTTTACTTGATTGTCCCCAGCATAAGTGAGAAGATGCAGGCTTAGCAGACAGGTTATTTCTTATTCCTTTTGTTTCTGGACTAGGGCAGAAGGTGTCTCAATGCTACCTCAGTGCCACGCTGTGCGAGATGGCCTGTGCTAGTGTCTTGTTTTTGCTCTGAAGCTGTGGAGAGACTGGAATAGAGATTGTAAAGATATGAGGTGCAGCCTGCTGCCTGGAACAGCACAAGCTTGCTATCTGAGACAGACCAGGTAATCCATAAGCAGGTTTCCTCTTTGGTGTCAGAGGAAAGTGAATAAACAGGACTGATCTCAAAAGCCTGTTTTGTCCAAGCTGTGCTTTAATTGCTGTCTTGACCACTTCCTACGCTTCCATTGGCAGCAGGCTGTGCTGGGAAACTTGCATTCTAGTGACTGTTCTGAGCTGGTGAAAATGATGTAGAGTTAAATATGGGCCTGTTTTTTGGCTTCTGTATCAAACCTAGGATGTACTGGACTCTGGGATGGTCTCCTGAGGACTGCATTTTTGAGAAGGTTGGGATAGCAAGTTCTGCAATGTGCCCAGGACTAGATGCAGGAGCCAAATATGGTAGAAGGAGCAGTAAGGAGGATCTCAAAGGAAAGAGTTGCATGACTTGAGTTTTCATTGGAAAAGGGCAATGACACGGCACCTTGGATGCAATGAATTTGCTTGTTAATACCATTCAGTAGCTGGAGAGCAGTCTTTTGAGAAGCAATTGCTTCCCCCTGCTGGCTTTCATACAACAACTGCAGTTAAATTTGCCTGACCAGAAGGCTCTCTTCACATAGGGATAATTTTTATGTCTCATTATTTGGGATTGATCTGTTTGTTCGGGATATAAAAGTTCCTTAAAACTGAATGAATAGGTAAATGGCAGGTGTTTTCTTTTTTTTTCAAAACTCTGCTTCTCAAATGACTGGTTATACTGTCTGCATTGCTAGGCAGTCCTAGGGAAGGAGGGAAACAGGAATCATGGGGAGAATAATCTCAGGGTGGTCTGTCCTACTGGCAACAAATCAAATGCTAGTTCCACTGGATCTATCCTAGTTACAACTCTAAATTTTTAGCTAGGTATGGTTAAACACCCCATTTTGAGCCATTATTCTTTGTTCCCCTTCATCTTCTCTACTGCTGTTGGTTGACAGGAAATGAAAATTGTATCGAGTTTTGCAAGATTATCTATGTAATTGTCCATCCTGGGAGATGCCAGATGGCATTTGTTGTCTTGGAAGATTAGCCAAATGTTTTGCCATTATCCCTTCCGTGTGCAGCAAGGCAGAAAATAGTGTTCTTTTTTTACTTGGGTGGAGATGATTTGCTTTTATGGATAGTCTGCCCTGTGCTGTTGAATCCTGTGCTTGGTGAAACTCGTATTCTGCTGGTGTGTGTGTATGACTTGGTCCAGAATGAAGAAGAATCCCTTTCTTATCAGTGAAATGAACCTTAAACCACACAGATGTTAAAACAAAGAGAGACAGTCACATAAGTTCAAGATTGGTTTTAATTGGCTATTAAACCTGAATTCAGTCAGAAGCGTGGTAAGATATGGCTCATGTTTCCAGATGGTTGTGAGAAATGCTGTAACAGGCTTCTTCATGTGTTTGAAAACACATTGTAGGCCTGTGTGCATATATGGTATGTGTTTCATCAAACCTTTAAAAAGCTTTTTCAGTAACCATTTTTCCTTTGTAGTAAGTAATTTATTATATCTGTTGTATTTTGCTAAATGTTTTAGTTGTGAGGGCAAAAGTTAGTGGTGTAGTCGTTGATAATTAGTAAACAAAACAAATAGTAAAAAGAAAAACTGAGGAAATAAGAAAGCATCGCTAGCTGCAGGATAATTAAGCCATGGAAGAGAGGAGGAAGTGACTATAATAAAAAATGGAGGTGTGTCCTTGACTTTGTCCATTTACCAACAAGTCATTGACTGTAGACATCATATAATGTACAAGGTGATCTTGACCTTAAGAAGGGTTAAGTAAAATTTAGTAGTTTGATGCCCCATAGATAGGCAATGGGAAGTTTCATGGTCTGAATCAAAGTATTTTTTCAAGATGGTAGGTAGGGTTGTGTTGATTTTTGGGAGCTGTCCAGAATTTGTATAAAAGCATACCCATAATGACAGACTGAAGAGTATTGCAGCTATTTGAGGCCATGCAGTGAAATGTGATACCCGTATGAGATTTCAGGAGAAGAATGCTTTTAAACTGATATATTTTTATATGTGCAACCAATCAGCTAGAGTTTTAAACTGTATTATAGGTACTTGAAGAAAATTTCTTTTCAGACAGCACTGGTAGTTTAAGTTGTACCAGCTGTTGAGTTGTGGAATTTGTCAGGATTATCCATTTTTATACATAGAGCAGGAAAGGATATATAGTACTGTGCATTTCAGTAGGTGGATACAGCATGTATACAGTAAACATAGATCTCACAGGGTTGGGTTTTTTCTGCTGGTAGTTTGCATTATGTTATTGTTCATATGCTTATATGCTGTGTGCTACTAGATTATATGCTAGTTTATATGCTACAACAGTGTGCAATAGAGAATGATCTTATCCCTTATTTTCTTACCAGAAGAAGCCACGAAGTGACTAATTACTCAGGTTACGTGGAGGTTTAGTCATAAAATTTATTTTAAAACGGTGGAAGTACTCCTTAAGCAATGGATACATCTGTGTGACCAACAGAGACTAAGGAAGTGGAGGGAGAAGCATGTTTCACTAGTTGCTTTCTAGTTACCAAAACAAAACATGCTAAAAGCTTTTCCTTTCATTTCAGTTATTAGTTATTTATTTGTTTTGGCGCCCATGAAGTATTACCTACAGCCTTTAAATCACAAGAATAGACTGAGTAAAAAGAAGCTGAAAATCCTATAGTTTCCTCGTTTTCTGTTGACTAAGTAAAGATAGGAACTAGTGGAACTGGACGAAGCACTTAGGTGAGGTGCAAATTAAGCCATTTGGTGTGCTTTAAAATTTGCCATTTTAAACAGCTCTTTTCCAGAAATTTCTGAAGGAAGTGTGCCACTTGTATGCTTGTATGTGTCCTAGCTGTTCCCAGATTTTGATATAGAGCGTCACTGTTTGGAAAGATCTAAGGCCTGTTCTGTTTGAACACAGTTTGTTTGGTTTGGGAATATTTATCGTGTATGTACCCAAAATAGATAGGGTTTATCAGCTTTCCAGCTCTTACCCTTCATCTAAATAAGCTTTTCTGTGCATTTTTCTGTATAGTAAGTATAAATTCAGGGCAGGAAGATGATTGAATACTCTCTTTTGTGGAATTACTGATGCATGATATTAAGTTGAACTTCTGCTTTTTATGTGCAAAAAGATATATAAAAATGTAAAATAAATATTATTTTTATTTAATGTTACTACAGTAATAGCTGTCTTTTTCTAAAGATCTATCCTGGAAGGAAGGGATACTGCCCCCTCTAGATGTCTCTGTTTCTCTCCATTATGCATGGAGAGCCTGGGTGATAATCACACTGGAGCCTAATTCTAAGACAGCTAAAATTAGATGAGAAGAATTCTATTACTAAGGTTCATGGGGGAGAACATTTTGACAATTTTTAATGCATAGGTACTATTACTGAACAAATGGAACTACAAAAAACACACACACTAAATTCTCATAAAGAAAAACCATTGCAGCTCAGGCTTCTCTTCAAACTCCCAGAACTCTGATAATTTTCCAGTGTTGTCATGAGAGAATCACTTGAGAGGGATTTACTTTTGCAGGTTTATACAGAGATTCAAGCTTCATCTTCTCAGAAATCTATTGAATGTTTTTTCTAATCTTCATGCAGTTACCGAGAGCACAAAAGACAACCACCCCTTCTCTGGCAATAGTGAGTTGGAAGAGGTAGTAGTGAGTCTGTATGAAGAGCTGGACATAACCTGTGCATAACCACCGTGTTTGCAGTCAAAACATAAGGCAGGATCCTTACCGTATTGATGGTATAGTTTTCCACAGCATGGACATAATAAATGAGGAAAAAAGGCAGTAACACTGACATCTGTGGCAGCAAGGAAGGTACCGGATTGACTACTCTGCTTTCTTTGTTCCAGAAATCCAGCAGTGCTTCAAAGAACTCCTCTTTCAGTTGTGACAAAGGATCACGGCAAGTATTTCTTCCATACTTTGTGTGGTAGTGTCACATAATGCTGTGGTGGTTTAGGCTTTGTTATTTGTGGTTGTGATTTCTGTGAGTTCAGTCTTCTGCAAGACATGTCCTGTTATGCAAAGACTGTTTTTACAATACCTGTCTGAGAAAACAACTGGGCATATTTGCTGGCCTTACTTTTAACTTAATGACTGTAATCTTCTGGTTATTCTATTAAAAAGAACAAGGTAAGGTGCCTGATTGTGCCCTCAACCTGGGAAAGAAAGAGAAGTTAGAGTGAACAGTTTCTGTAGACTAACCTGCGTTACATTGGTGTCTATTACAGTTTGGGGACTGGTTTTGGCTTCACTTCAGTGTTACTCAGAGCAGATTTCAAGATGGTATCTATCCACAATGTTTTATGGGCCACTGTTGAATCTACCGATTTTAGAAATCGGTAGATTCAAGCATTTGCAGAATTCTAAAGAAAAAGAGATTTGTGCAGACATAAATACCTATATGTTTTCTATTTAACTCCCAAATTTCTTGCACTAGTGTTTGTCAAAGTTGCTTCATTTTACTGCTTTTCTACGTTATTAGTTGCGGATATTTTTTCACTGTAGTTTTGATGTGAGGAACTCTGATGTTTGGCTAATTCCTTTTGTGTACTGAACTGAATTATTTGAGCTCTGTAGACATTTAATAAGTTGTAACTGTAATGAAAATATTGGAAACATCAGATGCTTGACTATGAGTCCAAGTTGCAGTTTCTTCTCATTAATATGCTGTTTGTTCTTGTCTGCTTTGCTCTGAACTGCCACATCTAATTTCTTCACAGCAGTGCAGACTTTGATCACATTATGGAGGAAGGCTATGAACTTGACCTCACTTACATCACAGAGCGGATCATCGCTGTATCCTTCCCTGCTAGTTGCTCTGAGGAAACTTACCTCCACAATCTACAAGATGTAACCCGAATGCTCAAATCCAAACATGGGGATAATTACTTGGTATGTGTTGGATCAGTCTTTTGTGATACCTCATCTTCTGTCCTACAGGAAGATCACTTGTAGGTCTACATACACTATTCTAAACCTGAAGTCACTCATCTAAAGTGTCTTTCATTTACCTTTACAGCTTTGCAAGCAGGAGCAAGATTTTCAGTAGTGTTTTAAGCTGTTAGGCGAGGATGTATATTAAAAGCACTTTTCTGCTGGTGATACTGTAGTCTCATGATAGCACATAGTCAAATGCTGTAGAACAATTGCACTGACTATTGTCAGTGTCCAAAGCATGCTTTTTAAAAAGATACACACCCTGCAGTGTGGAGTGTTCTTTTTTTTTTTTTTTCTTTTTCTTTCTAGCAGCCAGCTACATCTGGGTCCTCAGCTGGGTATGTGATGCTCTCTCACCATCATGTCTTGGCTGTCTCTACTATGTGTTGTGAAACAATATATAAAAGTAGGGTTACTGTTTGTGTGTTTTATCCAGCTGTTTCTCATTGACTTTATTTAGATGCATTGTTTTTCTGCTGTTTAGTTTTCTATAGGAAATTAAGTTGTAAGCAAATCTATAAGGAGCCCTATGTGCAGAATTTATATTTTTTTTAAATGATGACCCAAACTGTTAATCTCCTGTGCTGTTGTCTGGCTAGTGCATCTAAACCTTATGGCATGTATTGTCTCAGCTTTTTGTATAAAGGCAAGTTTAAAACAGGGCCAAGGTTTTGTTCACTTTTGCCGTGGTTTAGGGCGAATTGGGTAATGGGATGTGGGGCACCCCAGATTGGACCGACAGATGGTCCCCCTTACCCCTCTTCTAAGATAGAGGCAGAGGAGGGAAAAAGAGACTTGGGAGTTTAGAAGGAACTAAACTACTTTAATGAAATATTAATAATAAAATAAAAGGAAATACTGAAATATATATAAAACCTTCAGGAGTATGAACTTGACTCATGGTGTAAGTCAGTTTCTGGAGAGATTTCACCTAATGATTTAAATACCTTTCGCTCACAAACCAAGGTGTCATAGATATATTATTAACCAGGTATTGTCCTCAAGATGCACTTGCAATACTTGTAATGTTGTCTGATGTCCTCAGCATGCTGCCTTCTTGCTCTTCCATCAGGCGCTGGTAGCTTGTAAGGCACAAGAGAAGTAATAGTTTGAAGGTGACCTATATGTAAAGCTTTACTGGTTCAAATTCACCTGTTCTCAGTGACCTTTCCTGTGCAACAACAGCGTTTTGGTATTTGTGAAATAAGCTTGTAGTCTCACTCCAGTTAAATTTCACTAAATACCTGTTTGTATTACAAAAGATCTGGTATATGATAAGTCTTGTTTAGGGTGCCCTCACTCTAAGTGGGATTGCAGTCAGTTTCTCTTGCAAAGTTTGGATCTGTGTGGTTTTTTGGTTTTGGGGTTTTTTTGGGGTTTTTTTAGTTTTGTTCTATTTATTTATTTATATTCTAAGGAGTACTTGGGAAATCGGCTGACTTGGTCAAAAGAAAGTTTGATGACACCTCCTTCAAGTATGTCTCTGCAGATTTGCAAGATAACCTGGCAAACCACAGCCAGGTTGTAGATCTGGAGAGCTCATTTTTAAACTATGCTTTGTTTCTTCTGTTTCAAAGACCCTCTTCAGTTTGCTCAAGAGGCAAGTGTATAGCAGCAAAGCCCACCCCCTGCAAAAAAACCCCAACAACCAAACCCACAAAACCACACAAAAAAACCAAACCAAAAAAGTATGCAAGTGAGCAGTTCTGCTGAAGTTGATGAGAACAGTTTTACTCTTTCATTGAGTCAGGGTCTCAGCTAGCAGAATGTATACTACAAATCAGCATTTTTCATTTCTTACCTAGCTGTTCTTCCTCCAGATTTTTAAATATGTTAAACTGTTGCCGCTACAGTTGATAGTGAGGACAGAAGGGGAACGATACACCCAAAGAATTGGGTGAGTGCATTGCTTCCTGTTTGAGTCTCAGTTTGTTATGAAGAGTGTGAATAAAAAATCATAATTTGCTCTAACAGTAGAGGATTATACTTTGACAGTCTAAGACAAGAGTCCTTTATGGAGAGATGGAAGCCTGTCCATAGCTTGCAGTAGATTTTTCTCTGCTTTGCTGTCCTTAAAAAAAAAAAAAAAAAAAAAAAAATGCTTCCCAGAAGGCTTTGTTTCCTAGAGGAAACATGACTCTTCTCCAACAGACGAAAAACTTCAAAACTGATTTTTGTAGTATTCATGTAGTACTTCCATCAATTTATTCTGATTGTATGTGTGTGGCCTTGGTCAGCAAGAGGGGTGTCACAGTATCTTGAAAAATTCAAGATGATGTTACTCCAAAAGAATCCAGTGACGTGTCAAAATTGATGTAGAGTTGTAAAAGCCTCTTCTTTAAATGCTGATAGCCTGACTGTTATAACAAGCAAGCTTTTATGTCAAAAATAGCCAAAGACTTTTTCAATTGTAGAAGTCATTTAGGTTGGAAAAGACCCTTAAGATCGAGTCCAACTGTTAACCTAACACTATGACCTCACCACTAAACCACATCCCTAAGCACCACATCTACCCATCTTTTAAATACCTCCAGCGGTAGTGACCCAACCACTTCCCTGGGCAGCCTGTTCCAATGCTCAACAACCCTTTCTGTGAAGAAATTTTTTCTGATATCCAATCTAAACCTCCGCTGGTGCAACTTGCGGCCATTCCCTCTCATCCTTAAGTTGTTGTTATTTTATATTAATCACGAATTAAGAATCTCTGGATTAGACAGAGAAAAGAAAGAAATGAGAGAGATAAAATATTCCATCATACATTTGTTTAAAAAATAGTTTTTAAAGCAGCCAAGAAACAGTGATGCATTGATATGTTTCTTTTCGTGCAGCATATTTTCATTGACAGATTCTTTCCACAATGCATGTTTATTTAAAAACCCAAACCTTTCATAGTAAGGAGATTTAAAGGATAGAATGAAGCATCCTTTTCTTCCCTAATAAAATTGTCTTGTGGTTACAAAGGAATGCATATGTTATTGCAAGATCCAAAGGCTTAATTCCAAGTGAATGCTGTTTTACACCAGTACTTTCGAAATACACAGACTGTAAACATCTGCCAGAAAGCTAAAAACAGTTTAAATGACACAATTGCTGTGTCAACTGAAAAACTTAGTTTGCAAAAATAAATTCACCTTTATGTCACTGTTTTCATCAACTTCATCAGTAATGTATTTGTTATGCTGTTTTCACTAAAAAGTTTCCTATGCATTGTATTTGTAGGGGAGGAGTAATGCTTAATTGGTCAGATGTTCTGAGCTTTTAACCAAAAAAACCACCAAACATTATAAGCTTGTCTGTATACTTGTCTGATTGTATACTCATTTTCTAAAACTGAATGTTTTGGTGTTTAAAGTAGATAAATAGGTATGTTTTTTTTCAGTGTCTGACAGGTTTTATTGCAGTGTTTATTACTTACAGTAGTCAAAGCAGTTCTCTTGATGTTTATTTAAAGCAGTGATAAATGAGCAAGTTAACTTATTTCTGTCTGCTGCTGTATTAGCGTTCTTCAGTTACATATTTGTATCCACAGTGACTGAATGGTAATCAAGTTTTTTGAGTAACCTATTCTAAATTAGCTCACTAGTTAGAGAGGTGTCTACATTGGGGCATACAGAGCAGCTGATGAACAGTAACTCATTTATGTCAAAGGCATTAGGAATCTGACAGTAAATCCTATTGTCAAAATTCACGGTCAGTTCTTTTTTAAAAGTGAATCAAGCTCCCAACACACTCCTACAATTTATAAAAAGATTTCAGTGGTTACATTGCAGTCTTAGCATATACATATTTGTTACTAGGTGAGACTAATGTAACTGCTGTGCATTTTCTTGGTCTTGCATATATAAATTATATGGTAATGCTTGTGTGTTGCTGTTGCTTTACTAGTTTTCAGCAATCAAGTTTGGTCGCACCTGGTAGAAGCATTTTGCCTGCCTGCTCTCCCAGTGTCTTCTCCTTAATGAAACAGGCGGTAGGCTGGTGAATTGTTCTCCAGTCAGTACTTTGTCCTGTATGACCACAGTACATCTTTCCATTTCCAAAATCGCCAGCTACGTGCTACTTGTTCTTTGACATGAGATTTTGTATTTCTGATCATCTAAGGATCAGACCAAATCTAAGACCCTTTAGTACCTTCATAAAGGTCTCTTCTCCAGCTAAAAGGACACCTTATTTTTGTTCTATGGTGTTGCTGAGCATTCAGCAGAGTGAGTGAGTATTATCTTAATAGTTCCCAGTTCAGGATTAAATCATATGGGAAGGCGGATGTTTCCTCTCAGCTGTGTATAAGGAGGAAGGGTTTCTTTTTTTTAGTTAGTTTTGCCCAACTTAATTTCTATTCTTTAAATGAGGTCCTAAAATTTAGGGCAAAATCATTTAAGTTTCGAAGAACTGAAGGCTAATGTTCCTCATTCTTGTACCAAAATATAAGTAAGTAAACCTAGGATATGCCAAAAAGGGGTTAAAAAAATATGCAGTTGATCTTCCATTGACATCTATTTATAGCATATGCTTCTCTTTAAAGAAGGTGACCTCTTGTTTTGTTGTTGTATGTGAAATGTTGGTTTCTGTACCTTCTGGTCTCTATTCTGTGCTGACAGGACTCCTGCAGTATCTTGGTTTGATCTCTATAGCTTGACAGGGACTTGGGTACAACAATGTATTTGAGATTGGCATCTGATCCAGCAGTGACAAATCCCCATCATGAACAGCGTCATATCCTGACATACAGGAATTTTAAGCTCATCTTACATATAAATTCAACAAGAAAGATGAATTTAAAAAGTTCTCACTAAATAGCACTCTTTTTTTTTTTTTTTCCCCCGTGGAAAATTTTAGGTAGTTGATTTCTTAACATAGCTTTAACACTAATTTTAAGAATTCTGTACTGAGAAATACAACTCTCCACTAAATTGTTTTGAAAATATTAAGAGTGATAGAAAACTACAGAAATTTTTGTGAGTCATTTGTATAAGACTGTACTGGTTTCATTCCTGTTAAATTACAGTTGGTATTTCTGGAAGGATAAGTATAGTCTTAATTGTAAATGTTGATACATCTTCCTGAGCCAAAATAATATGGATAGTGCACGTATGAACTTCTGCTGCTTGGCTCTTCAGCAGTAACCTGTTTAAAATGCAAGCAATATATTGTTATAAAGACCATGTTCCTCATCATGTAAAGATGTTTTATATTTTGTTTTGGTGTTTGAGGTCAGTGAAAGCGGTGTATACCCTTTATGGTCAATATCATGGGTGATTTCAGAGCCTTATGCAGCTTAAAATAGAAGCTGTTTTCTTGGGTATCTTGTTAATTTGGGGGTTTCTTCTTTCTGTGGGTGAATTTCTTGTTCAAAAACTGTACTTTTTCCTAAAGATGGTATAATGTGTTCCTACTTCCACATGATGCACATTCAACTTATTTAAGTACCACATCAGTGAGCAGCAGGCACCAGATTCTAGAAGCAAAATGATGTAGTTTCTTTAGCCTGTTTAGGTCTTGGCTTCTGTGACTGCTGATGAGAGTGCTGGTTAATGCCAGATGGGATGATACACTTTAGAAAAGGGGTTCTTAAGTTGTCCTCGGGTATAATGGACTTATCTCTCTTACTATTTCTCATATTTATGGTCTATTTATCCCCTTCTGTCAGTGGAATGAGACTTTTTAAATGATTATGAATGGCATCTATACTTAGCTCATTGTGATGTGAAATAGCCACACTATGAAAGAGAATCTGCCTCAGTAGCATTGTTTCAGTTGTTGAGTATTGATAGTTCAGCTTCTTAGTATTGATTGATACTGATTTAAAGTAATTCCTAATGAAAGTCAAATATACTGCTCTACACTGCTTTATATATAAAAATTAAATATTATATATAGTTATTATAATTAATAATTATATAGTATATTAAATATAATTATAGAAGAATTATTATTCATATAAATTGTTCATTTAGCAGTCTGTCTCTTTAACTGTTCCTTATTAAGCACTAAATGTATGATAACTTACAGTCTAACTGGGCTTTTGGTAAAGCTCTTGCAGATTCTTTGATGAAACTTGCTATTTTAAGTGAAACCATTGTGCACACGGGATGATGGGGGAATTTTTTTTCCTAGAGCTATATTAGTCAAATTGAGAAAATGGTGCTACAGTTTTTGTAGCAAGTACCTTGTTGATTCTCATACGTTTTTATCTGCAGTACAGAGAAAACATACACAGAAATGTGAACCCGAGAAACAAGGTGGATTTCTGAAAACAAAGTTATTTAAATACTATGCTTTCTTACCAGAGAATTTTGCCCATTGAAGGAACATGGGAAAATAAACAGGAACACAGCATTTGAAAAGCAAAGATTTGTTTTGGAATTATCTCTGTCCGCTTTTGGGGTTTTTAAAGTGTTTCCCTTCACATTAAAAGGTTGGGATATGCCGAGCACCTCCTTTTCTGAAACCGCCCTGGTTCTGAGTCAAAAAAGGAAAAGAAAGCAAATTTAATGCAGAGGTGTGGTTTCTGAGGGTATTAAATAGCCAGTTGCGATTTCACTTGATAGTGAAATTGTCTTTTTCAAAATGTGAATTTAGTTTCATATTTAGTTTTCATCGTATAATAACTGAAGATGTAAAATACACTTGTTAGTACCACCTGACTTCAAATGTTAATTTAGTTTACTAAAACAGTAGGCAAAACTTCAGTCTTACCATTGTAGTTTCTTGTAATTTTCATGTTTTTCAAATATAGCTACTTGCTACATAAATTATGAAGTCTTGATGGTTGATATTTTTTTTCTTTCTCTCTGAACAGGTGTTAAACCTCTCTGAAAAGAGATATGACCTTGCCAAGCTTAACCCAAAGGTATTTGTTGTCTTCCATAACATACCTCTCTTTCTAGTGTTAAATACTACTTAAATGGCCTGATAAGCCTGAAGGTATGCAAGCGTTGATATACAGAGTAGGAGAACAACTTCTGGAAGATGACAACAAAAACCCCACATGCATCCCTTTAAAAAACTATTTTTTCCCAGAAATTATTTCACAAGTTCTGTTTTGTGTCTGTTAGGTGTGTGCTTTACATTGCTGTTCCTGTTGTCTTCTTAGACTTTGCAGACAGGACCTGAAGCCTGTTGTGACTACTGAAAAATTCCTATTGAGTGATACAAATTTTACCCCAAGTGTACTTTCTTTCTGCAGTCATAGGATCCTAGGGGTGTATAACCTATAACGTACAGTCTGATAGTTCACCAAGTGAACTTGGTTCAGATACAGACTTCCCTGTTGTACTATCTTTTCATAGTTGCTTCTCTGCACAATAGAAACATAAGGAGGGGAGCTATTGATGTTGGTCTTTTGTTCCTACTCACCAATTGTTGTATTTGTTTGTCATAAAAAAATATGCCAGTTCTCTTCAGCAGTTACTATAAGGCCAGAGTAGCACAGATGTGTATTTACAGCAGTAGATTTGCAGGGATACACGCTACCTGAGAAAAACATTAAAAGAACTCTTTTGACCTTTTGAATGCTTTATTGATCATGAAGGATTTAAGTTGTTCGTGGTTACTGGTTTTGTTAGGGATAAAAAATATGCATATAATAATAATAGGTTGAGTAAATAGTGTTATATAGTGACTAAAGTTGAACAGAAAATATGAACAAAATTTTGAGATGTCAGATCTGTTGCACGTGAAGGAAATAAATTGCAAATTAAATACAAAGAATCACAAAATACTGCATCATGCTAGTTAACATTCTTTGTTCTAATTTTGACCTTCTAAATATTTTACCATTATAAAAGACCTTAATTTTTAATTTAAATTTAGTAAAGAAATCAAGATCTTCAGAAATGTTGTCACTTGTGAGTGGTTGGTGGGTTTTGGCGTGAGTTCTTTGTTTCTTTTTAGAAAAATACTATTATTGTAAAAAAAACCCAACCAAACAAATCCTCTTCTTCCCCTTAAGAGACCTGTAAGCATGTTTTAGTTACATCATGGCAGTTGAATAACATGATTATCTGGGGTTGGAAAAAATGCGGAGACTCTTCCTTGTCACAATTATTGGAAGCCAGATTTTGATACATTGATACATTTGATACTTGACCATTAGGATCAAGATGTCTCTTGTGAATGTTACTTGTTCAATTGCAGATTATGGATGTGGGGTGGCCTGATTTCCATGCTCCGCCTCTCGATAAGATGTGCACCATCTGCAAGGCTATGGAGTCATGGCTGAACAATGATCCCCAACATGTGGTGGTGATCCATTGCAGAGTAAGTGAACTTTGTGTATACACATTGCCTATCTGTTTGTATTCATTAAAAAAAAAAACAACACAACCAAACAACCATTTAAAAATTTTAAAAAAATTTACTCATTTAAAAAAATTTTTAAAATGTTGTTTGATCTGTTTTCAGTGATGGAAACAGTGTTCCAAATCTTCAGTTGATTTTAGAAAGCTTAAATCCACTGACCTTGCGTGCTTGTTATATACTGCTTTTATGATAAATAAGGTTCTAGCCTCTGCTCTGGATATAGCATGCAGTGATGTTAGTTTGCTTTCTTCAGACATCAGTGCTACTTCTGTGAGCATATTTAGAAGCTTGAGGTTTTTCCAGCTCAACAGCAAACTCTTTAGAAGCTCTTCATGTTCTGTGACATCATGGATTTTGTTGCAGGATAAGGATAGGCAACATATCACAGATTGTCCCTTTAGACTATCATATGGTTGTAGGAAATGAGAGCGTTAAGTACCTCCTTGGTACTTCTGACAGGTTCCAACTGCCAGCATCATTGCAGTGCTTTATAGCAAAGCTACCATTGCGCAGTGTTACTACTTCTCCTTGCTTGCTCACAATGAGAAGAAATAAAGAGAAGCCTTAATTAAATACAGATAAAATTAATTCAGAACTAAACTGGTAGCCGTGCTGGTGACACTTGAGGCAAATCTGTCTCTGTATCACTGGGAGATGTTACTCTAAACAGAATGAGGGTGATAATGGAACCAAAACTTCTCTTCAAGTCAGGTTGTGTAGTCCCTAGTCCTGAATTGCTTGCAGGTAAAATGCTGTGATTGTATGAAACACTATTGAGTTCCTGTTAGCTGCAGGACTTCAGGCAGGAGAATGGACCGTACATGGGACAAAAGAAAAGGGGGCAAAGTATTCCTAGGTATTTTATATACAAATTGGTAATGCACATTGTTGATTAATGCCTTTCAGTAATGACTTTAAGGTTTCCAACCATGAAGATAGATACAGCTACTTGTATCAGCTGAGAGACTGAAATTGTTTTGAAATCTGTGAGAAATACTGCTTGCTAAATTGTACTGAATTTATGTCATGTAAGTTATTTCCTAAGGTTTGCAACACTTTTTAAATTATTCATTGAAAAATAAGTACTAGTTGTTATAAATCTCAGGTGCTGGGAGGTAAGAATGCCCAAACCTGTCAGAAACTCCTATGCTTTCCAAAATAGGTATTTTATAGCATTTCATGCCAGAACTTGCAACATTGTCTAGACTTGTCATGAATAATCTTTGGGAATAGTAGTATAAATTTAGAATAGTTGATACAATGTTTCTACTACTGGTCAAGATTATTTATTTTTTTTAAATAATTTCCTCCACTAGTAAGACTTGACAGGCACACACAGAGAAATCCTACTTAATGTTTTTTATGTCATTTGTCAGCCAGCTTGCATAGACAGACAAGCTGCTTCCCATCATTACCATCTTTCCAGCAACACAGGAGATGCATGATCAAAAAGACTATCTGAATCTCCTGTCTTAAAGTGTTGTTTAGTGTGGGTCTTACATAATGTAATAAATTAAACAAGTTGTTATTCCCTTTTTCGTAATACAGGGAGGAAAAGGAAGGATAGGCGTAGTCATATCATCATATATGCACTTCACCAATGTTTCTGCAAGGTAAGTTGTGAATTATGCATAGTGTGTGTGTTTTACAATTAAGGAAACATCAGGAAAAAGATGCCTTTTTATTGTACTACTGTTTGTCAGCTTACTGTTTGTCAGTCAAGGTTTGTCAGGTTTTCTTCTCAAAGAGTCTTGGAGCATGTCTTAAAACAGCCTGCTTTCACGTCCTGGTTTCAGCAGGAGGTTGGACTAGGTGATGCTCTAAGGTTCCTTCTCATCTGAGATATTCAGTGATTCTGTGGGAAAATTCGCTAAAGGATCTTTCGAGATGAATGAAGAAATATGCAAGAAAACATTTTTAAATAATGATGCCATCTTTATTCTGTTAAACCCATCTATTTGCTACATCCATCAAGTTGCCCTTTTGAATAAGTGAGAAACTATTCTTAAAAGTATTTAAGGAAAACAGTTTTTAGATTCTGGAATCAATATTTGAATAAGGAATTCCTAGACGTTGATCAAAGTGTGGAATGCAGTTTAAGAAATAATCTAGACTTTATCTTGCAGTTAGTTCAAACAATAGGTGTCTGATTACTTGGTTTTAATTGTTTCTTTTAGAGTGCTCAAATTAAGAAATGACAATTGACAATTTATGTCAACAAAGATAAAATTTGATAAATGATCTCAAAAGGATGAAATGTGGGAGTTTTGGGTTTTTTTGTTTGGTTTTTAATCAAATTGTTTTCCCTTGGTCTCTTTTATATAAACGTATATAAATGTATTAAAATAAAAACACTATAAAGGCCACGGTAAAACCAAATTCGGTTCTGAATTCACACCAGTCTGCCAGTAATAGATTTGATCCAATACTCTAGTGGATGAAGTCCTGAATCACTATAGCATGGTGATCATGGATCATGGGTTTCAGTAAAACCAGCATCTCAAAGGAATCTGTGTTCACTCTGGTAAACCTGACCGACAGGTAGACTAAGAAATTAAATGCACTATACACACCAATATGTGCCGAAAAAATAAATACATGTATCTTCAAGTAGTAATTGGGACAATGATTGCCACAATTTTATAATATTTGGTTAAGAATTATTGTGAATGACAAAATCTGTCAAGTGAGGATAGTACAGTACTTCATTGTGATTTCAGTGTTGCAATATTGTGTTATCCTTAAAGGTGGTACCTGGCTATAAATACATTTTAGTAATGCCATAACAGAGCAACACCTGGATGTGATTGTAAAGCCCAGCGATGAAAGGTGTCATCTTTTAACCCAAACAAATTCAGGATTCCTTCAGTGAGGTTGCAGGGGAGGAGGGAATTTGGAACCCCTCCTTTAAATTTCTGGTTGTCTGTCAGCTTCTATCCAAAACTGATTTTTTTCTGTGTAAGAATGAGGTTGGGGAAGTTTCCCAGCTAGGATTTGTATATCCCTAGCATTATCAAGACTCTTCAAAATGGTACATGGCAACCTCACAGAAGCAGAAATTACTGCTGGTGCTGCTGTTAAGGGTGCCAGCTGCTGTGTCAGAAGGGGCACTCGGAAGACTTTGAGGTTGTTCACACTAAACGAAGTTCCTAATTGTCTGCATGCACATGCCAAAAAATCTAGGCTTAGTGAAGCAGCCTTATGATGCAACACCCTTTTGTTTATACGTTATAAATATCTGTTTTTCTCTTTTAGGAAGGAATAATGTGCTGTCAAATTTAACAAGGGCAAACAGAGTTCTTTGTAATAGTTGATAAACTCTTTTTTAACAAGCAAAATACTAGCAGTCTTTGGCCAGTTATGAGTGGGTCCCCTAAATTCTGGGTGGTAGTGTGGGTGAAGATGTATGAAGATGTATGATGGGTTGGGTGAAGAAGAGAGTTTTTGGGTCAAGGATATTCTAAGTACACACTATGTAATCTTTAACATCCATGAAGAAAAGACATGACTTTACAGTCTGATCCAGCACCACGTCAAGACAATTGGTAACTTCTGATTAATTTTTGGAAAAGTTATAAATTCTATTTTTAGCCTGATATACATATGTATACTTTGCACAATTTTTTTTTCCTTGAAACTCATTTACAGTGAACTAGATATGGAATTTAAAATTTGAGATTCCAGAGTTTAATTATTTTGAAACTTCTGCTTTTTTTATGTCCTAGTGTTAATTATCACTGTCAACTATGTTGGTTACAAGATACATTGTTTTATCTGGTATAGATACAACAGAATCAGCATAGCATGTTACTTGGCACATGTGATTAACATCATTCTTACTGATGCTTGGTACTTCCATTTCTTTTTGCTATACCCTCTTGCCTTTCTCCACACAGATGCAGAAGACCCATATAAGAATCATTCTAGATAGAGAACAGAACAAAATGTATTTTTCTCAATATATTGCTCCTTAATTGTGCATTTGAAGTGTTTGTGTTTGTCTGATGCAAAACATTTATTTTTCAAAGATTTGACACTTTTCTTTTAAACAGTCTAACACTTGGTGGCTCAGGACACAGAAATCAAAGACTGAATGAATTATTTGACTGCTTAAATGATCCTCTAGCCCAGCATTCTTTGCACCTCATGTACTGTACTACAGTCAGAGCTAGGCAGTGTTTTTCATCTCCATAATATTGCTGCTTCTTTTTTAAAAAGAGAATAGATTTGTATTTCACAGAGAGAACTGCCCAGTGGCACTCTCAGGAAATTATGGCAAGTATCCTTCTTTTGCAGTCTGAGCTGCTTGGTTTTGCCAAAGTTTATTGCATTATGACTCTAACATACTCACGCTGGAAATACGCAATCCAGTTAATTGAATAAGGGAGTAGTTACTTTGCCTCAGGAAGGAAACTGCCTTAAGGTGTGGAATGAGAAAGTGTCAGTGCAAAAAACATTCTTGTCTGACCTGTAAGTGCTAGAGTTGCTAGTAACGTGCTGCTTTCTTTTCTTTTTGCTTATTTTTCCTTCCAAATATTATGGCATGTTTCAAGCAGTAACCTGCTCAATTTCCAAGATAACCCCGAACTGGAATAACATGCTATCTGTGTCTCTGTTTTGACAGTGCTGATCAGGCTCTAGACAGATTTGCTATGAAGAAATTCTTTGATGATAAAGTTTCAGCTTTAATGCAGCCATCCCAAAGAAGGTATTTAATTTTTCTAACACATACCAATAAGAAATGTCATCGTTATCTTCTCCACCCATCCCTTACTCCCTCCCCTGCTGTGTGAAGGCTATTTCCACAAGATCCTCCAGTGATTCCTGAACTCTGAGCACTTTATCTTATATTAATATTCCTTTATTGATGAGTTCAGTTCCTGCACATAGCCCAAGGTAGATAAGACCTTTTGTACCACACTGTTATCTACATGTGTTCTTACTGCATGGTTTGTTAACAAAAAAATTTCTTGATTGCTCAAAGATAATAATAAACTCATTTTTCTGTGGCATAAATGATGTGTATGGAATGTGTGTTGATTAGTGTGCAATAAAGATCTTATTACCACGTGTTTGGGGTTTCTGCAGATTATCCATCTGCCCCCTGTCCATGCTAGTAAATGTTTGTCAAAGCATGCATTATTTATTCTCTCTATCTGGATGTGTCTTACCTTTTCAGTCTGTCTGCATGAATAAGGTTGAGTTACGACTCAAAAGCAAGCAGTTTGGAAAGTGAGTAATTCTGGGGTTTGCTGTTTACCTCATTTTGACTGGAGGTAATGAAGCGTTCAGTACCAAAAGATATCTATCAGACAAGTAATTGTGATATAGGTGAATCTTCTTTTAGAAATATAAAATATCAACTGGATTTGATATAATAATTGTTTGGTTTTGGTCTTAATCAGCATGTATACAGTAGGTGTTTTATAAGTTGTTTCAAGGATAAGGCTTTGCTAGTAATTAAACTGGAAAAATAAGTAGTAACAACAAGCATAAGGGATTTAGTTCTGTTAATCTCTAAATAAGAAAAACTTTTCCACGACTTCTTGAACCCATTTGGTGACCTGCACAGCTCTTTTTCGCTTGAGAAATAGTAGTACAGGATTCCATCAGACTTGAAATAAACTTTTCATAACTAAAAGTTTACTGGCCTCTTTTTTTATTCTCCAATTTTATGCCTGCATGTATGTGATTGCATTTTAATAATACGTGATTGCATTTTAATAATAAGGATTTGAGAGTAGTAGAGAAGTGTGAACTGTAGGAGCAAAAGGAAGTACATGTTCTTAATCTTCCCATCAAGAAGCCTTTTGCAGCAGGCATATTTCCATAAGAGCCAGGGACCCTCACAGCAGGCTTTGTGAATTGTGCATCAAGGCAGTTTTCACAACCATGTTGACAGGAAGCTTCTGTAGCTACTAACTTAGGTGATCTGTATGCAAGCCCTAAAGCTAGAGATGACATGGGTATAAGTGGTGGTATCTGGCTCTCCTACCCTCTTCCAAGACACTTGCTTATTTCTTCTGGGGAGCAGGGTGAGGGAAATCCCAGAGAGACTCAGTTCACCTCCTGAGTGATGGAATTAACATCTTTGCTCACCAGTACCGAACTTAAGCTGCCCTTACCATCTTCCAGACAAATGTGTGCACACGTACTTCGGAGTGTCATTCCGCATGAGAAGAGAGGATGTTCTCCTCCTGAACCTGGCCTATCACAGAGAAAAGAAAAACAACTATGTAATATTTGAGGATAATTTTATAATCCTTTTTTGGTCATATTTTGATGAGTTAGTGGCCTGAATCACCTTTTTAATGTGCTTTTTCTCTGAAACTATTCTTGGGTAATTAATTTGCAATGTCCTTGTTAAAATCCAGTTGATGTATAAACAGGTATAATTTAGATGAATATAAAAATGGTAAATTTGAAAATACATTACTTGTATTTTGAAAGCTTTTCTCCACTGTTTTGTCCAGAAATAAATAAATTGTGGCCATTAAGAGCATCTGTCCTGAAAATATCACTTAGCTTTTCCCCACTGCTAGTTGGATGCTGTAACAGTGGCAAGAAAAGCAAGTACAGACCAGATCTCTTATTCTGAATCCATTGTGACAATGAAGTGGATACTTATTCTCAGATAAGTAGTTGAAAGTTTGCCTAAATGAGAAGTGCAGATACAGACCTTTCATATTTAAAAATTTCTCATAAATCTTCAGGATAAATCTTTGAACATGATTCTCAAAAATAAGCCAAATGCCTATAAGCCTCTTAAATGCACTGCACACACTTAAAGGTGTTTGAAAATTCAGTCAAATTTTTGGATTAATTAAAAACAGGTAGTGGTAGAGAGAAAACATACAGGCTTGAGAGGTCACTGATACAAGGTTTTACCACACTGTTTTTTTTGTCATGTAGGTATGACAATTTGTAAATTTGTACTTTTCATGTACCAAATACTTTCGGAAAGACTGAAGGAGGAAACCAAAAAGCAAAGTTGTCTTTTCTTAATATTTCAAAATAAAGTGAGCTTTGCTAGCTGTCTATAAAATGAAACCTGAACCACCACAACCCCCATTCTGGGTAGTAAAGCTGTCGTTGGCCAGGATATCTTTAGTTGTGGTGTTACCAGGAGCATGCACTAAGGGATTGGTTAATGCGATATGTGCATAAAGGGGGAAAAAGAGGTGGTTTTTCTGTACGTTCCTGAGAGTGAAGTTAAATGAAGGTTGTGTTGTGGGCATGGAAGAAAAAGGGACTCAAAGCAAGTAGAAAAAATAAAGGAGACTGTTTTCCCTTGGTTATTTAAGGAGATGGGAGGAATTTGTTTAACACACACTGCACTGATGTTCACTTGCATGTACTTGCTCGTGAGCTTGTGACCAAATCAGGTATTAAATAGCAGAAATACAATGATTTTCATGTTGCTGTGGTAGTTTTCCTCTTGTTTGGTGCTGAAATGAGAGCACTTCTCATTATGAAGATGTTATTTGCCTGTGTTGGCCTTAATGCTAAGATTTCTGATAAGGGCACTTCTTGCTCTTGTTTTAATGAAATGTACTTCATTGTAAACGGAGTGGGACCCATGTCATGCTGCTGTGAAAGCCAGTTGAGGCCTTCAGTTGCAACTGGAAATGTATACCAAAATGATTGACTTTACTATCTCTGCTAGTTTCTTTCTTATTTACAGTAATGATGTAAATAACTAAAATGAAGACATCAACAATAGCAATGTAACAGCCATGGATTTAATAAAATGGTAAAGTAAAGTGTCTTTTCACGCTATTTTGGGAAGATTATTCTTTTGGAGTTATGTGCAATGTCACAATGCTGTTTACTACCCATGGCCTAGAAATATTAATGCATAAAGAATGTATTTCCCTGATATGGTTCCATTACTGGTTTTATTTAATTCATACAAATTTTGTATTTTTAGATATGTGCACTTCTTAAGTGGCCTTCTATCTGGATCTGTGAAAATGAATGCAACTCCTCTTTTCCTGCACTATGTTATCCTTCATGGTATCCCAAGCTTTGATGCTGGGGGAGGTAAATTACCTAACTTTTCCCATCTAAGCATAGGCTCAAAGTCTTGTTTCATTTTAGAGCTTTTTGAAAGCCTGCATGAATCTCAAACTAGAGTTGATGCTCCTTGATATCAGTTCAAAAGTTCCAAATAAAAGAACCAGGAGAAGAGAAATATCCTAAGAGTAAAAATTACAGCAGGTGAAATAAATTTCTTGTCCATGTCTGCCTGGTTTCTGAACAATTGTGATCCCATTCCCTGCAAAAGAGCTGAGAACCTGGTCAGGTTTCACAGTCATTTCCTCCTTGTTGAGGAAATAAACATAATCATAAATATAATCTGTTTTCTGTTTTGAGATTGGATTTTCTGTAGAAAAGTCATTTGGATATGGTGTGCTTTTAAGGTAGCCTGCTATAATAAGTGGCTTTAAAATTAGAATGCTAAACCAAGATACTGTGCTAGCACATATTAAAGGAGTATAACTCTATTTTTATCATCTGAGAGTTAAATAGCACCTGTCTTTTGAAATGCCATCAGCATGAATTTGCAATGCTACGTTGTCATTGTGGTTTAGTCTGGTTTTATTTCTAAAATAACTATTTCAATAAAGACAAGGTATTATTTGTTGTCAAAAATTTAAGGGACTTACTAGTTTTGAAACAAAACTGTAGATCAAATATATGTTTAATTTTGAAAATGCTTTTTATTTTGTTTTGGGTGTTGGTATTGTGGTTTTTGGGTTGGGGGTGTGTTGGGTATTTTTTGGCCATTCTCTTTCTTCCCTTAATAATCTTGTTTTCCTGCAGAAAAAGTGGGAATGAAGGAAGATCTAATAAGGAGCAAAGTGCTCCTTCTTCCTTTCCTTACTGGAATCCTTTAAAATCTCCTCCTCCATAATTCAGAACTAGTCTGAAGATCAGGAAAATTGACTTTTTTTCATAAAATATGATCAAATACTTTTTTGGGGGAAAATGAACCTGTCAAAGTCAATTTTGCTTTACTTTGAAGGGTATTTTGACAGTCAGCATTGTGCCACTTTGTTCAGTCTGTGCATGAAGCTTCCTAGTTGTAGTATTCAGATAAAGGAAAATAATTATAAAGCAGTATTTTCTGCTGATTTTTTTGCAGCTTGCCGGCCTTTTCTGAAGTTATACCAGGCTATGCAACCAGTTTATACATCTGGAATATAGTAAGTCGTAAGCGTCTTCCTTTAAGTTTGGATCCAGGTTTTAATTCTCACAGTTGCAGAATTACATAGTCTTTTTTGTTTGGTTGGTTTTGTTTCTTTAAACCATAAATTTTATTTTTCTTATCTCTCCCGTTAAGTAGCCTAGGGCCAGAAAGTCAAAGCCGAATCTGCATTGCTATAGACCCTGCCCAGCTTTTGAAGGGAGATATTATGGTAAGTTAATTGTATGGAATGAAAATCCACTAAACTGTGCCATTTAGTTTACAGTCTCTGACCTGTTTTGCATTCTTGTAAAAAAAAGAAAAAAAAAAGTAACAAATGGTTGCGGACATACTACAAAATAGTGCGGACATACTACAAAATAGGTTAAGTTAATTTAGTCATCATCCATGAGTCTTACAGGAATCAAAATTCCTATAAAACTCAAACTAGTGGTTTTTAGGAGTAGAAACAATTGCTGTCAGCATTCCCATTTCATAGCATCACCAAGTGCAGTAAGGCCTGTAGCACTATTCTCTTTATAAAAATTTCTTTAGGGAGTATTTGTAATTCGACATTAAAATACCCTTGTCCTGTAACTTGGCAGGCAACATGCACAATCGTAAAACTATATAAAAGTTTTACATATATATATATATATTTATTTATTTATTTATTTAAAAACTATGTAAAGAAAATACCTAACTTAATTCTAAATTGTTTTGGGATTCCAAAACATATAATAAGAAATAAAAGCTTTTTGATTCTACAAGCATGGCAGTATTTAAAAAGCAATTTATATGTGCCAAAGAGTGGGTGTAATTCCCTGTGTGCAAAGCCTAACTATGGTTGAATCCAGCACTATCATTTTAAATCTCTCTTCTTTCTCTCTTGCTTGTCATACACAGAGAAAGTAAAGCAAGATAGTTGCTGTGTCTTTCAATTTGTTGAAGTAAGAGGACAGAATAACATGTGGAAGGAATGGTGGGTGGGAGGTACTGTCAGAAAGTATTCCTGGTCTATTGCTAGTAGGTTTCAGAATGTTTTTTTATTTTATGTACTACTTTGAGAACTGTTGGACATCAATGTAAGGGATCCTTGGTATCAGATAATTTTTTTTTCCTCATTATTTTTTTTTTTGGTTTCCCCCAGTTGGTTTCCCCTCCTTTTTTTCTTCTGAAATAATCTTTTTTTGTTATCCTTCTTCCTTCTCCCTTTCCTGCTTCCCCATCCCATTCAGTTTAGTATGTTGTTTGTTCTTTCTTTCACTGAAAAGTGGAGAAACAATTTTAAATATGCTATTATAAATTGGTATGCTCTGGAGGTTTGGGACAGTTTCGAATTTAGGAAGATTTGTTACTCATTGGAGGACTGTTAGTGCTTAAGGAAATAGAATAGATGACAAAAGAAATCAATCTGAGACAAATTCAGTATTTATCAAATGTGTGTTTAAAATGAAAAATGAGCACATAGCATTTCAGTAATGCTTGCATTGTTTTTAAAAAAGATCAACTTCATTCATCCCATGCTATTATTGGAAGTAATTCTTCTGAGCAAGCTAGCATCTTATTCAGCATGGTAGTATTTCCTAAACAAAGACTTCACTTCAGTTTTGCATATTTTTTTACTATGTCTAAGCAAAATCATTAGTGGTTTCAGGAAAAAGGAAAAAAAAAAAAGAAAGATACTTGCTTGTCTTAGATTTAGAGAATTTGTTAACACAATGTGAATAGTATGTGGTGACACAGCATAGCCACAGCTGTTGAAAAGCTGCACTGACATCTGTAAATGTATATAGGTATTTCCCAGCATATTACAGTGGCTTGCATTAATTCTTGAATATGGCATCAGAAGGTAGTGGAGTCAGAATTCAAAGTTAAGCTTAGACTTCATTGAAAGCTTGTTGTGTATAATGAGCACTAAAAGATGCTCTTGGTATCCTGGGTATAGATGTACACTGTTACCAATTGTAAGAGAGGTCAGATTTTCATAAACAGTTTCAATTCTATACAAGTTGTTTAGGATATGTTAAGATAATATTATTCAAGGCTGTTACTTTGAATTAGAAAGTAGAAAGGAGCAGGAACTACATACGTCACTGAACTCACCCAGATTCAGTGTTTTTATAAACACAATTATGCAAAAGATTGAGTAAATCCAGAAACTGTTTGAAGCCAAAACTCTGACAAGTTGGAGCATAAAAAAGTATTGTTCAGGTATTTACTCTTCTGCATCTTCAGAAACTCACATATGATCCACATGTAAAAATCATGTGATTGTTTAAACAGCTAAAGAAGTTTAGCTGTTTAAACAGCTTTAACACAAAATTGTGGAGGAATGTATCTAAACTTAAAGAAGCTCTTAAGTCTTTTCAAGCTTCTTTTGCTCATGTAATATAATTAAATACAATTATCACAGTTACTTTCAAGCTGATTATATATTTTGGAGCAGGTTAGTTCTAATATCTGTTATCAGGGGCTCTCTTAATCCCCTTTCTGTCCATTTTCCACTTCTGGGCACACTTGCAGTTTTCATCCTTTATGACGGTGTTTTGCCTTTACATAGAGTTGCTGGGCATAGTGGAGAATGAGAGTTTATTCTCAAATAAAGCATTCTGTTTCTCCTACCTTATATTTCAGTAATTTAAGGGACTGACTTATGGCTGTGGTTCTAGAGAGATGATGCTGGTAGTTGTGTTGGACTAAAAGGAAACAGATCCCTTCAATATGGAGGGGTTTGTACACTATGTTAATTTTAGTGGGTGTAAAGCACTGTTTAAAATAAGAAGCAAATACTGTTTTACCTGATGCTACCACTATGCTGTAGGGGATTCTCTTTTAAAAAAAACAAAGAAACAAACAACCCTAAATCGTCACTTACAGATAAAGTAATGCTTACTTGTGTAGAGAATCTCCTAGCTTTTATAAAGGGTTAGGAATATGTGGTTTGCATAGAGAATACCTGAAAAAAAAAACCTTCTTTGGTACATGGACTGAAATATTTCAGAAGTTATCCTATGTGCCATATATATGGTCAGTGCTGATTATCTTCTGGAATTTAAGGCATCATGGGGTTAGTATAATGAAGCAACAGCTTATGCTAGATTTTTCAAATCCTGTAGTGAGAAGAACTTCATAAATATGTTTCAGTCCCAAATTTCAGAAGCATCCCTCCTTGTACATATTTCTTATATTACTTCAGTTTGAATAACTGCTCTTCAGTTATTCAGTATTTTCAGTCTAGAACAAATTTTTCAGTCTGCCTTAAAAAAAGGTGCTTTTTGTTGCTACTGAAATGCGTTAAAAAGACATCTGCTTTATCATAAAATCCTGATATCATCAGGATAATATAATAAAATTTTCAGTCCTGTGACTACCAACATTTTTATGTATTCCTGTAAGAATGCTGAGTGGCTTTGTATTACAGTTGACTTGGAGAATTAGTAGGTAAAATACCCACAGTTCTAGTCTAGGGAAGGCGGTGTTAGAGATTAAGTGTACTGTGTTCACCTTTAGCTGCTGAAATTCATACTAGATGTTATTTTTACAGAGCTCTGTGTTGTTCTAACCAAGGTGTCAAAACTACTACCAACTTCCCATAGTAACATAAAACAAGAGCCTATCATCACTGGAGTAGGTTTTTAAGAAGTCCTAAAATAGATGTAATCAGCTTGCAGGCTTGCTTCTAAAAACTCTGCATATTCTTCAGTTACTTTGAAATGAGTGTGCTATAATTCAGTTTTATATTAATTTGGTATCGTGAAGAAGTATGGATACAAGTGAGCATCCCAACATTGTACTGACAAATGTTGTGATTTTGAATCATAATCTACTGACTGGTGACTGATAGTGATGGAAATAGTAACTACTTTTTTTTACATATCCAGAACTATCTTGCCTTGGACCTGTATAATTTTAAACGATTGAATAATGCATATCCTGCTTGTTACAACGTCAGAGGTGTCCGCAGTAAATTGTGTTGTGGCTGCTTTACTTGGCAACTAATGCATATGCACACATTTGTTCAGATTTGTAAGAAACTGCTTCCTGACATGTTTCTCTCTCTGGCTTCCTAGCTGAAGTGTTATCACAAAAAGTACCGGTCAGCTACTCGTGATGTGGTTTTTCGCCTTCAGTTTCACACTGGAGCTATTCAAGGACATGGCCTGGTGTTTGGCAAAGAGGATTTGGACAATGCCAACAAAGGTACTTGTCTTCTGTGATTGGTTGGATGTGTATGTCTGCGAAAGGTGCATGTGTGTGCCTGTGCATGTGGTCATCTTCAGGACCCATTTTCAAAAGGATTCTTGGGTTTTGTCCATCCCTGTTTTTAGGGAAAGGAAAACTGCTTAGCTAACTGTTAGTTAGCTCATAGCATGTAGCATAGGTAAACGCCTAATGAGAAGAAAAGCTCTTCAGGTGAGTTAACTTGTCAAAGTAATTCAGAGACTCCTACTTAGTCCTTACCACCTCCCCTCACTTTTGTCAAAACAACAGACAGTTGTTTAAATTGGTGACTCTGTTAGTCACCATTACAGCAAAAAAGATGAGCTAAGCCAATCCCATTTTTGGCTGACGAAAACAGTCACAAAGTCTGATACTGTGTTTGTTACCTAGTCTGCTCTAGGGTGGAGATCTTTTGATATGCTTCAGAATATCCAAAAACGGAGGTAAACTTTTCAGACACATTTGAAAATGTAATTTTCCAAATTACTATTTCAGGTTTATTTCACGTGCAGGATTGTTACTCCCTCACCCTATGCTACTGGCAAACTAAAATCAGACATATTTTCCTGCAACATAGGCTACACAAAATTTTTGTGGTGAAGTATTGCAGTTTAGCCAATATAGAGATCAATTTTAGTTTGCTCCAGGGTGTGTTTTCCTTTAAAAGCCAAAGCCAACCGTGTCTGTATAGAGAGAAATTTGGGAACTGTACATCTCTTCTACTTTTGACTGTTCTTGGAAGTAAACAAAACACCAGCTGACACTTACATGGTCTTTTCTGGAGGATGTGTGGGGCAAAGAATGTGGGTCTTTTAGAAGCAAATTGCTAAACTGCAAGTGCAAAGGGAAGAGTGACGATAGTATGTATATTAACAGCTATAGAGGCTCCAGATTTCTGAGTGCCTTGGAACTGCTTTGCTGGGAGATAGCTTGCTGAAATACTATCATTTGTTTTCAGATGACCGTTTCCCTGATTATGGAAAAGTGGAATTGGTGTTTTCAGGAACGCCAGAGAAAATTCAAGGTGAATATAGAGAAGAAAAAAATATGCTTAGTTTGAAAATAAATCACATTGTAATGTTTGGGCTTTGTTTTTAAAGTCTTTTTTCCTCTTTTATTCCACTTCTTTTGTAGTAGATCTGAAATTCAGCTAAAATGTTAAAATATGTAAATGTTTGAATATGTAAAAATGATAACATATGTAATATAGTTACTGGTCTAAATTTGAAAACTTTAGTGAAGACTCTGCATTTACATCAGCATAGGAGTGATCAGATTTTATTTTACAACTATACCAGAACAGTTGCTGACGATTAGTAGAAAACATTTCTATATATGTGTAAAATATGCATAGTACAGGTAGCTTGGGCAAGCATAATTGACAGCAGTGGCCTGTCCCATAACCTTTTTTTGGATGTTGTCATAACTGATTATATTTGCAGTGGTGAAGTTTGGGCTGTCTTCCATTTAGCATAACGAGATACAGCTCTAGTTTTGTTGGAAATGCTTCTGCTGTGAAGTTGGCTTGTAGAGTATATCCTGTATGCATCCAGAATTCTATTGTAATATATCTAAGATCATAGATAATTATGACCTGCAATAAGAACTTAAGATCATGCTTCATATTGCAGTTTCTGTTAATGGATGTGTTCTTAATCATTTTATGGTGTCCTGAAAAGTATGGGTTCTGCCTGAGACTGAATGAAAACCAAATATTCTTAACTGTCTCATACATATTGCCATTCAGTGTCCTGTGAATTGCATGTTTTCCTTTTCTTTCTTCCCCCCCCCCATGCCCAGGCT